AGAACGCGCGCTGCTCCTTCTTTAAAAGTCCTGCAGACAAGGCAACGCGAGTCCTCGCCAGGCTCGGGCAGGAGCCAGCGGGACATCCTCACATTTAACAGAATGTCTGCCCGTTCTGGCCAAGCCCGGAGCCTGCGGCGCCTGGGATGCCCCTGCCAGCCCCTGCCCCGGGGACACGTGTCTGAAAGCCCATCTCAGAAAAACCAGCTCCCCGCCTCCAAACGGGAACTTCCTACAGAGTCGCTTGGCCTAATTCTCTGAAAAGGCCGCTCCCGAATTATTGAGAGACCACAGATTCACATTTAAATGTTACAACCCCCCAATTCCCCACTCCCTGCCCCACCTAACCCTGGGTATGTGTTGGAGCATGACCTTCTCACTCACCTTCCCACTGTGTACAGGGCGCCCCTGCGCACGTGGCTTGGCTTCTGGGGGAGGGGCTCGGGAAGGAAGGGCTGGAGGGCCTAACCTAGGAGGGGTAGGGGCGACAGAAAAGAGGCGGAGGAAAGGCCCAGAGTGGCCGCTGGGGGAGAAATTCCGCAGGTTTCTACCTTGCTTAAGGTGAACAGCGCCAAGCTTTGATGGGTAGCATCCTTGGGCCCATAAAATGAATTTTAAAGAGATTGAAATGCCTTTTATTACCTAATTTTCTTGCTCTAACACTTAAATATGTTCATGGATTACAATTCTTGGCTCTATGAAATCAAATGAATTGGAGAAAATAATTCTAAACGGCTCTACATGAACAACTCTAGGACTTAGGGAATTTATCACGAAAAGCAATTTGAATTTTAGTAGAGTAACAACTTTGCAGATGCGAATGATAGCCAACCATTAAGGTTTGGAGACTGGTGTGAATATTCCCACCGAGACAGGCAAAGGTTAGAGCTATGTGCCACCCCAAAGCCTATGACCACCCGTCCCAGAGCAGGGCCCATGGAGCAGGCCCCGTCTACCTGCCCGTTTGTCCCTGAGGAAAACTGCTGCATGCCCCCCAACCCCAGGGGGCCACAGAGGGATGGGGCTAAGTGGCTTTGGAATGAAGCCATCTGGCCCAGTTTCTGGCTCTGACCCTTACATGGGATGCTGAGCAAGTTACCTGGCCCCTGGGTCTCCATTCTCATCTGAAACATGCCCATGATGGTGGTGCCCGCGGTGTATGGAGGACGGGAGACACACACATGCAGACTAGCTAGCCAGTGGTTGGCAAACTGTGGCCCCTTGAGTGTGGCTCTTCCACAAAATACCACGTGCGCGGGCGTGCACGTATAGTGCGTTTGAAACTTCATGGCCACACTCAAGGGACCAAAGAGCTGCATGTGGCTTGCAAGCCACAGTTTGCCGGCCACTGAGCTAGGCCAGTGAGCACGCAAGCCATCACCTCCCTTGCTGCCTCTAAGCCCGCTCTCTTCCCTCTGCTCCCAGGAAGTCCCCACTCAAGGCACTCAGGCCTTCCTCTCCAGCAGGAAGGAAGCTGGCAATCCTGGGCTCAAATGGCATGACCAGGACAGACGGGGCAGCCCAGGAGGAAAACAAACCCAGAGCCCCCACAGAAGCTGCAGAAACTAGCTGACTAATTTCAGTTTCAGGAACAAACTACCAGCAATACAATCATAATAGTAGGTGCACAAGAGATGTCTTATTCCATTGAGTGTAGCATATTAGGGAAAACTGCTATTCTAACTTGCTTCTAGACCAGCGATTTTCCACCTTTTTCATCTCATGGTACACATAAACTAATCACTAAAATTCTTCGGCACAACAAAAAAATACATTTTTTGCCGATCTGATTAAAAAAATAGGTATAATACTGATTCATTCATACCGGACAGCTATTGTGTCGGCTGTTGTCATTTTTTTATTTGACAATCTAAGGGAAAATAGGTAAACCCTTGGTTAAATAGGGAAGGGGCTAAGTGGCTCTGGAATGAAGCCATCTGGCCCAGTTGCTGGCTCTGACCCTGGGATGCGGAGCGCCCCCAGTAAAATTCTTGTGGCACACGGGTTGAAAGTCGCTGTTCTAGTCGGGAAGCTGCTGCATTCCGGCGTATGTTAGCCCAGCCATTCCGTGCATGGCTGAGGCTCAAACATAGGACCAACGTCGGTCTGTATTACGGGTGGAGTGCTGAACTCGGGCTCCTGGGTTTATTATTTAGACCCCGGGCCCAAGAATAAAGTGGAGCGGGCCTAGTTGCCTTCTGTGTTAATTTTGCTATAAATAGTTCTCTAATGAAAAGGACCCCCTCCTTGGGCAGGCCTTTCTCTCCTGTTTATTTTTAACTGATAGCAAGGCCACTTGTGAGGATGATTAATGAGGGACTGGTGGAACCCACAAATTTGGTTTCTTGGGGGAAATCCACTAGGAAGCCAAGGGAAGGGGCGTGGCTGTGCAAATTGACATTGTGTGGCGGGAGAAACAGGGAGGGGCACCACATTTTCATCCCCGTTCTCACAGCTCTGGAGGCGGCTTGGCAGAATAATAGGAACACTTTACCTTGAAGAAAGCAAAACTAAAACCCCCTGTGAGTATCAGGTGAGAGGAAACCAGACAAGCAGCCCCGGGTTTCCATCCTCAGAAGGTCAGCAGAAGAGCCTGGTGTGGTGTGAGCAGCGTGGGGGGGGTGGGGGGTGTTCAGCAAGAAGGTGACCACCCAGCTGGACCGCACCAGCTTGGGCCTGGGGTCTCTTCTTAAAGAGCTTCGAGGTCGCTGCCGCAGGTTCAGTTTTGTCTCCTGGGGTCAGTGTGCCACTTCTAACAGGTGGACCCTGCATTCTGGCCCCTTCCAAGCTGCCAAGCCGTTAATGACTTGTTCACACAGCTGCTATTTCACCCCAGGGACGCTGTGCTAAGGGGGCCCCTGAGGTTTTGGGGAAGCTCTGGCTGTCTCGAGCAACCCTAAAAGCCTCCATGCTTGTGCCTTCTCAACAAAAATTAAAGGTCCCAAATCTTAAAAAAAAAAAATATATATAGTTCTCTGATGTATAAAACTTTATTTCTTTACTGAGAAAAGAACAAAAGGTAAATAGAATGGTCTAATTTTGTTCTGGGAACATGAGACTCCCAGCTAATCAGCAAATGCCAGAACATTTAACCAATTTGGGGCCACACCCAAGCTGGGTTGACTGGTCTCCATGGTGCTGGTCGGTTGCTAGGTTCACTAGCTTCGCCTCCTGCTGTGGTTTGGTTCTGAGTGCTAGAGCTGCAGAGACAAACCCTCCCAGAGGTCCTCCCGCAGAGCATGAGGCAGACGGGGCAGGGTGGCTCCCCGCCTCCCCATGAGTCAGATAACTGACACAAGCCCATTTTTCTAAATCACAGCCGGGACATCTGTTTTCCATGAGTCACTAGCCATGTTGATGACAGCAGAATAAACTTATCTATATCATGAACAGTAACATTATTACTTTATTACTTCTGCAGACAGTTACATTATTACTTTATGTGGATCCTTTGACTAGTATGAAAAAACACTCTTTGCCCTAGCCGGTTTGCCTCAGTGGATAGAGCATCGCACTGTGGACTGAAGGGTCCTGGGTTCCATTCCGGTCAAGGGCACATGCCTGGGTTGTGGGCTTGAACCCCAGTTGGGGGCGTGCAGGAGGCAAGCTGATCAATGATTTTTTCTCGTCATTGATGTTTCTATGTCCTGGTTGCTGGGTTGGTCCCCAGTAGGGGGCTTGCAGGAGGCAGTTGCTGATCAATGACTCTCTTTCAAAATTGGTGTTTCTATCTCTCTCTTCCCTCTCCCTTCCTCTCTGAAATCAATAAAAATATATTTAAAAAACAAACAAAAAACACTCTTTATTATAAAGATGTTCGTGAAATGATCACCCAGATCCACACTGCACCCCAGTTTACAAAGCACGTCACACATAGAGGGAGGCTCACAGAAGTTGTCTAACTTGTCACAGACACCTGTGGGAAGAATGAAGCCAGGCTTTTAACCCAGGTCCCCACTCATGGCCCTCAGGGCTTAGCATCCAGGACACCACCTGACACAGCATTGTCCCTCCCCCCACCCACCCAGCCAGGGGTCCTCACTGGGAACAGTCAACAGACAGGCTTGGGAGTGTCCTCAGCCACCTCCCTGGGCTTAGCCTGGACCAAGGGCTTTGGCAAAGCAACGGCCACACCCAGGACGACCTGGGCCGTTGGTAGGAGCCTCGGATGGGGGAGCCTGCCCCTTCCTGCAGTCTGCAGAGAAAGCTATACACTATGGTCAGCTGGCCCAGCTCAGGCCCACAGTGAACCCTTGGCCAGGATCCTGATTGCCTCCAGTGGACAGAGCA